AAGATACTCACCTTCCCGACACGATAGCTGAAGACAAAATGGGTGCATAAGCAAATGTGGTGAAGAGAGCCGATGGTGCCCAGCTATCAAAAGATATAGTGTCTGGGATCTTAAAGGCTTGAAGTTAGACAAGCAGCCATGCAGCAGGGAAGCAAATAAGTCCACATGGAAGAAGCACACAGCCTGTGTGATCATGAAGTGTCAACGGGATCAGGTATCAAAAGATCCAAACCAAACGACTGTATTGATATGAATCAGGGGTTTTGGAAGGAGACCTAAAGCCCATCTGTAGACAATTGAAAATCCCCCACAGAAGGTTATAAGGAAGGGATGATTCAACCAAGGTGCAGTATAGTACCAACAAAACACACATCATTCCTCTAGTTCCTCAATGCTTCCTCACCCTCACTACCATGACAGTTCTACCTTACAAATCTGGCTAGCCTGGAAAACACACATGGGTACAGATAAGAGCTCTCAACACATGGAATTCAGGACAGATAACCCCCTCAGGAATAACAGTGGGAATAGCAATGTTATGAGGGGAGGGGAAAGGGAGAGAAAGGGGGAATCAATCACTAGGTTGGATATATAGCCGCCCCCAAAGGGCACAGATAACAGAAATGTGGGTGGAGACAATGGACAACTTAAGATATGAAATAATAACGATATAATTGGCCAAGTATTCACAAGGGTCGGAGAGGGAGGGGAAAAAAAGAGGAGCTTATATCAAGGACTCTAGTAGAAAATGTTTTGGAAATGATGGCAACATATGTACAAATATGCTTGATATAATTGTTGTGTGGAATGTTATAAGAACTGTAACATTTAAAATGATTTAAAAAAAGAAAATGCCTCCTTTAGACATTACCGGGAAAGACCAGTCTGGAAAAGGACGTCATGCTTGGTAGAGTAGAGGGGCAGTGAAAAAGCGGAAGTTCCTCTACAAGGTGGACTGACACAGTGACTGAAATACTGGGTTCCAACATAAGAACAACGGTGGGAATGGCACCGGGCTGACCGGTGTTCCGTTCTTATACATAGGGTCACTGTGAGTCAGCATCGACTCGACAGCACCCAACACCACAGCAAGGCGTGCCTTCACAGGATGAATAAGATGTGTTCCAAAGTATGTTTCCTAAAGCAATTTCTAGAACATATCCTGAAGAAACAAATAGTTTCCCTGAATGCCCCGTGGAGGCATAGCTGTGATTAAAGTAACAATATAGTAAACATAAGCAGCCGTTTAAATTTAAAATTACCATTACCAAGCACTAAATGCTGATTTAAATATGATACTACTTGATCTTTACAACACTGCAAGAGATGCTTGTCCATGATGGTCTTAAGCAAGCTTTGATGAATATTTCTTAGCTTGTTCAAGTTCACCTAGTACAGTCAGGATTTAAATTCAAGTTCAGCTGACAGTTCTTCTTTACCACTATACTTACCTACCTTCTATGTACAAAACATTTGTATATGTAAGCAGTGGACTTAGGTTTTCTATAGACTTCATACCATCCATTAGCAGAACTAAGGATGTGTGAACCACAAGATAAAGTCATCATAAAAAAGGTATGGATACCATAGGGTCAAAAGCACACCATTCATAAGCAATGCTTTACAAACTAACTTTAGGCACAGTTGCAACTTTGGAATTGTTAGAATTTGTGTTTGCTTCTTGTTACACTTTTCTCAATTTTGAAGTTTATTTCATTTTTTTTCTCTTAACTAACAGTTCACAGAAGAAAAGCTTGGCCAGGCAGAGAAGACGGAATTGGATGCTCACTTAGAGAACCTCCTTAGCAAAGCTGAATGTACCAAAACCTGGACAGAAAAAATAATGAAACAAACAGAAGTGTTATTGCAGCCAAATCCAAGTAAGAAAAATGTTATTACTTGTCTCTCTTACTGACCAATGTTAAAAAGTACTTTAGTGGGGTTTCTTTAATATTTAAAAACAAAACTATAGAAAATGAGCATAAAACATAACAAGAATAAATCTGGATTACATGCTGAATGAAATCTAGGATAAATATTATGTGGTCTCCCTATTTTAAAAAGTCAAGAAAACTGCGTTCTTTGGTTACTAGGGATGGGAAGGGGTTAGGGATAGAGAATCACTTTCAGAAAGTAGACAATTGACATTTGGTGGGTGAAGTCTAGTGAACTTGACCAAAATAATGATGACACTACAGAGTATGCAATTAAAAGGAGTAATTTTGCAACAGTAGTAATAACAGCCCAATACTGTGTGTGGCTATATACGTAGAGGTCAATGCATATATGTGTCTAGGAACACATCCACAACATGCACTTGGGTACTATATATACTCGTGTATAAGCTGACCCGAATATGAGCCAAGGCACCTAATTTTACCACAAAAACTGCATTAAAAATGTGCTGGAAAACTTAGCTCATACACGAGTATATGCGGTAGGTGTGCTTATAGCCTTATGTGTGTCTGTATGTGTTTTTATGTGTGATATATATATATAATAAATAATGCAGAGAGCACAGTTATGGAGACTTTCTATACAAAGCCATATTCCTCAAGGAATTGGTTTACAACATTAAAAGGTTTAGGGATCATAGTTGTATGAAGTACCTCAATCAGTTGCCATAATATGATTCATAAAAATAATGTTTTACATTCTGTTTGTGGAGTAGCATCTGGGTTCTTACAGGCTTGTAAACCAGCCCTGTAAGCTACAACTATTGGTATTCTCCCATCAAGAGGAAAAGGGAATGGTAGAAAACAAAGACTCACAGAAGAAACTGTCCACTGGGCTAGTAGCCATGTGAAGCATGACCTATTTTGTCCTGAGACCAGAAGAACGAGATGGTGCCCAGCTACCACTACTGATGATACTGTACAACAAAAAGCCCCAGCGAGAACAGGAAAAAACGTAAACCAAATTCAAATTCATGAAAGGGCCAGATTTGACCAATGAAGACTGGAAGAACCTCAACCTTCAGAAACTCTTTTACTTAGAACTGAAACTACTGCTCGGAGTCAACTGTCAGACAACAGATTGGCTTTTAAGCTAAAGAATGTCACTCATTATGAAGATGCTTCCTTAATCAGTTGATTTGAGACTGTGATCGTTAGGTTATGTGTCAGACTTAGCTGGGCCAGGATTCTGTTATTTGGCAAGTGAGATGAGTCAACTGAAAGAGAATCTCCTCAAGGGTGTGGTCTGTTTCCTGTATATGTGGACACTCTGGAAAAGCTTGCTTGCTTTTTGCTAGGTCTGGATCCAGTATCTCGCTCATCATTTGATTTCCAGTTCTTTGGATTTGAGCCAGCAGACTGCCAATCAAGGGGGAAATTATCCCTAAAGAATTGAAGGAAAATTACGTAAAGGCTTAAATTATTACTAGTGATGTATATTTATGTTGTTTACATTTCCATATAAATTGTTTCATTTGAATTTTAGACAACTCTTTATGGTTTTCACATCACTTAACTCAATAACCTTATATATAAGGTAAATAATTGTTTATTGAATGAACCTTAGAAGTTAGTATCTTTTTTTAAAAACATTTTATGGGGGCTCGTATAACTCTTATCACAATCCATACATACATCCATTGTGTCCAGCACATTTGTATATTTGTTTCCCTCATTCTCAAAACATTTGCTTTCTACTTAAACTCTTGGTATCAGTTCCTCATTTTTCCCCTCCCTCCCCCATGAACCCTTGATAATTTATAAAGTATTATTTTGTCATATCTTATACCGTCTCCCTTCACCTACTTTTCTGTTGCCTGTCCTCCAGGGAGGAGGTTATATGTAGATCCTTGTAATCTGTTTCCCCTTTCTCCCTCACCTTCCCTCCATCCTCCCCGGTAGCGCCACTCCCACCACTCGTCCTGAGGGGTTCATCTGTCCTGGATTCCCTGTGTTTCTAGTTCCTATCTGTACCAGTGTACATCCTCCAATCCAGCTAGATTTGTAAGGTAGAATTGGGATCATGATAGTGGGGGGAAGAAGTTAGTATCTTGTTCAGAGTAGCATAACTATTTTGAAATAGACCTTGAAGTAGAACCAGGATTAGATAACCCTATCTTTTCACTATGAAATTTATATATCAAAACAAAATACAAAAGGCAGTAATGCATGCTTCCTTCCCCTTTTTCCTAGTTTAGTTATGACCATGATTTGAAAGCCTATAAATTTATTTTTAGATAACTAGTTTAAGTTACAGACTTTAAACATTTGTGCTATTTCACACAAGTTCTACATAATGTGTTAGTATTTCTTTGTTGTTTCAATTAAACTGGGACTTCACTTTGTAGTCAGTTGATCCTTCACTCATATGACCCCCATATACGAGGAAACAAACATTGCCCTGTCCTCTGACATGCTTTTGATTGATTGTAAATCAGACTATTGTGATCCATAGGTTCTGTCACTATATGATTTTCAGAAGCAAATTGACAAGATTTTCTTCCTAATCCATATTAGTCTAGTAGTTAAATTGTTGTGACTTTTAGAAATACGTTTTTTACCCATTAAGTAAGATTCATTATCTTTGGAATAGCCTTTTGGTATTTTATACCCATGTAAGGTTACTTAAATACTATCTGTGGCACTTTAGAAAGGAAGTAGACATTTTTCCTCTTCTTTGCCATATCTAGAATCCTTGTGTATAGGGACTCTGTTACGTGTATTTTTCTGAATGACTCATAAGGAGCCCTGGTGGTTACTCGTTGGGCTGAAAGGTCAGCATTTCAAAGCCACCACCTCCTGCTGCTCAGGAGAAAGAGCTTTCTACGCCCATAAAGACTTAGGTACAGTCTCTGAAACTTGCAGGGCATAGATCTGACCTGCCCTTTGGGGCCTTTGAGTCAGCATTGACTCAATGGCTGTGGGGTTTCTTGGTTTGAACAAGCTCATGCACTCTTGGTAAATGGAGAGATGATACTGGTATAAAGAGGCTTAAAAAATTTGCTGCCATCATGTCAATTCCAGCTCATAGCAACACTTGCAAAGTTAAAATGGCTTATATAAAGTTTTTCTCTGAAACAGTGTCTCGATCACTAGGTCTGAGCAATCGTTACTCTTTTTTCTTTGTGCTCCAATTACGAAATTACATAGATTTTGAGTAATCAAACCCACACTTTAACTCAGTTTTTCCACAGGACTTATTCTTAGTATATGATTTTTCAGAACTTGGGGTTTTAAATATATATGTAGGATTGCTTGCACACTGTAAGCTTATGACCTACGGAATGAGCTATTAAAGTGAAACATATTAATATTACAAAGGTTTTATTAACTGAATAAATCAGTACAAGATCCAATTTTAAACTTATGATGAGATAGAAAAGCAACTAACCTGAAAATCACTCCCTTAGTTAAAAAAATTAATAATAAAATGAGATTCTGAAATTTAGTTGGCACCTTCTATGTGGAATAGTCTATCACAAAAAATAAATATCATTCCAGCAGCCTATAACATCCTTTTGCCAACTCCTAAAATGTCTGTGTTCAATCATTCTTAAAATTTTCAGTGCACAGTATGAAATATACACTATTGTAGGAATGTGTTTGAGGTATCTAAAGTGAACCTGTTATGACTTAAACTTCTTTATGAATTATAATCTTAATTTTTATCTTACCGTTTCTGTAAACTTTTTCTTCCCTCCCCATTTATCCCTGTGACACCTCCTAGATGTAACAGTGAATTCCTTTTGTTATAAACATTATTCTAAACCATATGTTTTTTTCAGACTTAACGAAGCTTTGACCACTTGTTCAAATATTCTGTCACTTTGTTTTACTTAATGTTTTGTATTTTAATACTGAAGTTTAGTGATTTTTGTGCTCAGTGATACCATTACACTTTAAGTATAATTAAGTAAAATGAGAGCATCATATTGCTAATATGTGTATAGACTGTCACAACTTTGGATTGGTCTAGTCCTTAAGTTCCCATATTTTACTTAGGCTCTAGAGAGAGTGAGCTAAATGTACCAGAAACATGTGGTTGTTTAGTTCTTTGATGTAATTTATTCCCATATTTTTATACCTAAAAAAATTGAAATTATGAATATATATTCAAAGTTATAAGTTACTAGGTAAACAAGCGGCCATCTAGCCCAGAAGCAACAAAGCCCACATGGAAGAAGCACACCAGCCTGCATGATCATAAGGTGCCAAAGGGATCAGTTATCAGGCATCAAAGAACAAAAAAATCATATCATGTGTGCTCACCTCCCTGATAGGATCGCTGAAGACAAATGGGTGCATAAGCAAATGTGGCGAAAAAAGCTGATGGTGCATGCCTGTCATAAGAGATAGCGTCTGGGGTCTTGAAGGCTTGAAGGTAAACAAGCGACCATCTAGCTCAGAAACAACAAAGCTCACATGGAAGAAGCACACCAGCCTGTGTGATCACAAGATGTGGAAGGGATCAGGTATCAGGCATCATCAGAACAAAAAAATCATATCATTGTGAATTGGGGGTGTGTGTGTGCGGAGTGGAGACCCAAAGCCCACTTGTAGGCCACTGGACATCCCCTTACAGAAGGGTCTCTGGGAGGAGACGAGCCAGTGAGCCAGTCAGGGTGCAATGTAGCAATGATGAAACATACAACTTTCCTCTACTTCCTAAATGCGCCCCCCCCCCCGCCACTATCATGATGACATTTCTACCTTACAAATCCGGCTAGACCAGAGGATGTAAACTGGTACAGATAGGAACTGGAAATACAGGGAATCTAGGATGGATGATCCCTTCAGGACCAGTGGTGTGAGTGGCGATACTGGGAGGGTGAAGGGAGGGTAGTTTGGAAAGGGGGAACCAATTACAAGGATTAAAATGATTACAAGGATCTACCTATAGCCTCCTCCCTGGGGGACGGACAGCGGAGAGGTGGGTGAGGGGAGATGGACAGTGTAAGATATGACAAAATAATTTATAAATTATCAAGGACTCATGAGGGGGGGCTCGCGGGGAGGGAGGGAAAAAAATGAGATGATGTCAGGGGCTTAGATGGAGAGCAAATGTTTTGAGAATGATGAGGGCATTGAATGTACAAATGTGCTTTACACAATTGAAGTATGTATGAATTGTGGTAACAGTTGAATGAGCCCCTAATAAAATGATTAAATATTATATAAATAAATAAAATTTATTTATTTATATAATAAAATAAAATAGTACTATAAAAAAGTTACTCTTTAGGTGCTATATGAATGGTGTAAAAGCAACTTTACTAAATATTAAATGAATTATTAACAAATGGTTTTCTGGAATTTAAAATTCCATAGAATTCTCAAATTATGCTTTGAATTTATTTGTGTATAAGAAAGAGCTTTATATAAAAGAGTAATTGTATATTAAGAAAACATTCAAGCTCAGTCCAGATCAAGTCCATGAGTCTGATATTAGTCTATATGTCCGATACCAATCTAGAAATTCCTCTTATTTTTAAATAGTTTGGCTCCAAAATGCTATTTTACTAAATTCCTAAAATATTAATTTCTTACACCTATACTATTTATACAGTCACATGCTAAAATGTTCATGATTACATGATAATTTTGCATTTATTTCAAGAGGTGATACATGGTTTATTTTTAAAGAGACAAACTTGTTCTTACTCATAATGACCTTATGGGACAGAGTAGGACTGCACCCCACGGGCTTCTTAAAGAGTTTAAACCCACTCTGATGCTGTAGAGTTAGAAAGCCACAGCGGAAGAACACGCTAAGTATACCTTTAAAACTCAAGAAATTCAAGCCTCAAGTTGTAAGCTTAGAAGATTCTGTGGGCAAAATATTGAATGATGCAGGAAGCATTAAAAGAAGATGGAAAAATACATAAAGTTGCTGTATCAAAAAGAACTGGTTGATATTCCACCATTTCAAAAGGTAGCATCAGAGCAAGAACCAATGATCCTGAAGAAGAAAGTCCAAACTGCCCTGAAAGCATTAGCCAAAAACAAGTCTCTGAGAATGATAGAATACCAATTCAAATGTTTTAACAAACTGATGAAACACTGCAGGCACTCACTAGTCTGTGCCAACAAATTTGGAATAAAGCCACTTGGCTACCTGATTGGACGACATCCATATTTGTACCCATTTCAAAGAAAGGTGATCCATGCAAGTAAGCTTTTGCTGAAGATCATCCAGCAATAGTTGCAGCAGTATATTAACAAGGAGCTCTGCCAGAGATTCAGACTAGATTCAGAAGACGTAAAGCAAGATACACCATTACTGATGTCAGATAGATACTGGCTCAAAGCAGAGACCACCAAAAAGATGTTTACTTCACCAGAATGATGTTTACCTGTGTTTTATTGACTACGCCAAGGCATTTGACGATGTGAACCATAACAAACTTTGGATAATCTTGAGAAGAATGGGAATTCCAAAACACTTCATTGTGCTCATGAGGAACTTGTACATGGATCAGAAGGTAGTGGTGGGAACAGAAAAAGGGCATACTACATGAATTAAAATCGAGAAAGGGAAGCTTCAGGATTGTGTTCTCTCACTGGTTGAATCTGTATGGGGAGCATATCAGAGAAGCTAGTTTATATGAAGAGGAATGTAGCATGAGGATTAGAGGAAGGATTATTAACAAACTGCGATATGCAGATGATATAACCTTGCTTGCTTAAAGTGAGGAAATCTTGAAGCAGTTACAGATGAAGTTCAAGGATTGCAGTATGGATTACAAGTCAATGTAAAGAAGACTAAAATTACAACTAGACCAATAAGTAACATCATGATAATAGATAAAAGGTTAAAAGTTGACAAGGATTTTGTCTTTCCTGCATCCACAATCAATGCTCATAGAAGCAGCAATGAAGAGATCAAATGACATATTGCATTGAGTAAATCTGCACAAGACCTGTTGAAAAGCAAGGTGTAGTAGTTACATAATCTGGTGTCAATTTGAGGATTCAAAGTGGAGGGGTGGAGTCTGACCAGTCAATCAGGTGGTAGTTTGATAACCTCATTTGGCAGCACTAAGGAGATAAATAGCTCGTTGGAGGTGGGACACATGCTCACTCCCTGAGAGACTCTACTGACAAGACACATGGAGCTATGCTGTTGGCAGCGAGGACCCTGGACCTGGAGAAGGCATGTGGAAACCCCTGCCAGCACTGAGATCCTTACAATGCCACTGGATCCAGAAGACTTCCCACCCACAGGCCTGTGATCTTCCTGCATTAAGCATCTTCCACGTGTTTCGTGTGTCTGATGAGGACTTTATAGATTGGTATCAGATACATGGGCTAATATCAGACTTAATGGAGTTGATCTGGACTGAGCTGGGATGTTTTCTCAATGTTCAATTGCTCTTATATATAAAGCTCTTTCCTATACACATGAGTGTCTATGAATTTGTTTCTCTAGTCTACCCAGACTCACACACAAGGTTACTTTGGAGGACTGAGTTGTGTGCCTTACTCAGGTCATGGTATTTTCAGTTGCCTCCTATGCATGTGAGAGTTGGACATTGAATAAGGAAGACCAAAGAAGGAAAAATGAGTTTGAATATTACTGCGAACTGCCAAAAGAACCAACAAATCTGCCCTGAAAGTATGGCTAGAATGCTTCTTAGGGTCAATGATGGCAAGATTGTATTCCACATACTTTGGACATGTTGTCAGGAGAGACCAGTCCCTGGCAAAGGACATCATGCTTGGTAAAGGAGGTGGGGCAGAGAAAAAGAGAAAGGCCCTTGACAAAATGGATTGACATAGTGACTGCAACAGTGGGCTCAAACATAGTAAGTGTGAGGGTGATGCAGGATAGGGTGGTGTTTTGTTCAGTTGTACATGTGATCGCTATGAGTCAGAGCCACCTAACAATGGCACCTAACAATTGCCATAGGGTAGATTCTGACTCAGTGACGCTTTTTAGGATTGTCAAGGCTTTGTAAACCTTTCAGGGAGGAGATAGCTTCATCTTTTTCCTGTTGGGTGGTTATTGGTTTGAGCCATTGACCTTGATGTTAGCTGCCCAACATTTGCCAGGGCTATAAATGTTTTATAGGAAAGCAAGAACTTTTGCATTTGAAAACATTGGTAATTTTTACTTTTCTCCCAGATGCCAGAATAGAAGAATTTGTTTATGAGAAACTGGATAGAAAAGCTCCAAGTCGTATAAACAACCCAGAACTTTTGGGACAGTATATGATTGATGCAGGGACTGAGTTCGGACCGGGAACAGCTTATGGTAAGTGAAGGCAAAAAGCCTGAGTCTAGTAAAAATATGTTTACGTGTAGGTTTTTTGGTCTTAAAATATATTTTACATTTATCTATACTAGTAGAATCCGTTTTAACTTGAAATTTATTCTTTTGAAATTATGAATGAAGAAATATAAGTGATATAATTCAATCCAGAATTTAACATATTTAAGCATATATTTTTAATATTTTCATTTATAATTCTTCCACCTTACAAAATTTTACCATGTTCATCTTTTCTTTCATTAAGACCCTATGTTCTAGTGCCAGTGTTCCTTTTTTGCTTCCAACTTTGACATTCCAATCATCAGTAACTATCAATACTTCTTCATTGCATGTTTGCTCAATTTCATACTGCAGAAGATGGTAAAAATCATCTTTGATATTAGTGGTTGGCGCATTAATTTGAGTAGTGGTTATATTAGCTGGTCTCCTTTTAGGCTTAAAGATATTCTGTCATTGACAATATTGTACTTCTAGGTCTAGATATGTCTAGAAAAGTTCTTTGGATAAAGATGTCATCCTTCCTTTTCATTTTGTCATTCTTAGTATGATAGGTTCTGTGATTATCTAATTCACTATTGCCAATACCATTTCATTTCAGCACTGATAGCTAGAATATTGAGCTTTGTGTATTCCATTTCACTTTTGATGACTTCCAGTTTTCCAGATTCATATTTGGCACATTTTAAATTAATACTTACAGCTTTTTTTTTCTCGTTTTAATCATGCTCCATTCACAAATAAAGATTCCAAAAGCTTTACTGCAGTCGTGTCGTTGAGGTTGGTTTGGTGATTTGGTGCTGTTGTATAAGGATTGGACTACTTAGTACAATGGTTCTCAACCTGCGGGTTGCGACTCCTTTGGGGGTCCAACAACCCTTTCACAAGGGTTGCCCAATTAATAACAGCAGCAAAATTACAGTTATGAAGTAGCAATGAAAATAATTTTATGGTTAGGGGATCACCACAACATGAGGAACTGGGTTAAAGGGTCGCCGCATTAGGAAGGTTGAGAACCACTGACTTTATTACTTAACCACAAGGTTGGCAATTCAAACCTACCAGCCACTCCTCAGGAGAAAGTAAAGATCTACAGTCATCTCAGAAACCCTATCTAGGGGTCACTGTGAGTCAGTCTGCTTAATAGCATTGGGGATACTTGGAGGAGGATGTAGCTCTTCCTCGGCTTTAAATGCTTTACAGGACTCATCTTCTAGCACTGTATTAGTATTCCGCTGCTATTCATAAGGCTTTTCACTGTCACATTTTTCCAGAAGTAGATCTCCAGTTCCTATTTTACTTGCCCATCTTAGGAGCCCTGGTGGTGAAGTGCTTACACGTTGGGCTGGGATCCAAATGATCAGCAATTCAAAACTACCAGCAGCTCCTGGGGAGAAGACTGGGCTTTCTACTCTAGTAAACAAGTACAGTCTTGGAAACCCACAGGGGGTCTCTATGAGTCAGTGTTGACTCAATGGCAGTGAGTTTGGTTTTGGTTTTTGTCTTAGGTCTAGAACAAAGATTTTCAAACTTACTTGCCCTACCCTCCCCTTTTCAGAAAAAGTTACTCAGCACCCCTGACAAGTAAAAGCTTTTGTACTGGAACCCAGTATCCAGGATGAAGTGTAGGTATCTGCTTTAGCATATACAATTTGACCTTCTATAGCTTGGGGATTAGATGCACCTTAGTCCTCAGAGTGGACTTTGAAAGTATTGACCAGTCCGGAAGCACATCCATCTTCTATGAGTGAGTGACCCTGCTGGTATTTGAAATTCCTGTGGCATCACTTTCAGCATCACAGCCACCGATAGGCATCCACAGTACAACAAACGTGAGTGGTAGAGTACACACTGGGACCTTACCAGATAGAATACATAGGAATCAAAGCTACTACATCTGTGGAAAGAAAGTGGAAAAGGTCAACGCTAGCAGTCAGACTAAGGCCCTGTCAGAGGAGAAACTTCAAATACTTTCCACTAACAGAGACTGAGGGTAAGACCTGCACCTTGCCAGTGGTGGAAAACTTGTGAAACTCAGGAAAACGGGAGACCTGTCAGGTTCCTGCTCTTGCATGTTTCATGGAAAAATCCCATTATCTGTTAAAGCTTATTGTTCCACAAACTTTTTGTAGCCGCTCTCATATTTGAGTTTAACCTTCTCCTGACAGGTTTACAGCTTTCACAGGTTCCATCTTTTGCAGGTTTTCCTATATAATTGAAAACAAAATGTGTGTCCACTCTCCAGAAAAGTAGAGGAGAAAGGCAACAGTTTTATTGTTGAATAAGTAATGAGTCTGAATGTGATAAATAAAAAGTGCAAAAATAGCAAGAAATCTCATGCTTTTATATGGCGGAGTAGGTATGGCGCATTGGATTTATATTTTCAAGATAAAATTGCTAATATTTTAGTATCTTTATTGCCACAGAGCCTTATAGTGCTAATCTTTTACCAGAAAACTAAAGGTTGGTTTTGGATTTGATCTTCCTTTATGATCACATTTCAAAAGAGACGACCTTCAAAATATTCTTGATTTACATGCTTTTCAGAGACAAAGAATTTGTAATGCCAAACTTTCTAAAGTGCATATTGAGAGAAAAGAGGGCGAATCATCTTATTTTTATTTCCTCTTACATATCTCTACAATGTTAATATTATCCCTGGATGTTGGAATAATACTTGATTTCTGTTTTCTTATGTAGCTGTGCCAGCTTTCTTAATGTTGTAATGTCTTGTCTAATGAACAACTCTAAAACTTGAAATTAAACATCATTATTATGCCTCAAATGTTATTTTTGCATAATATGAAATTATTTTAGATTTCTATAGCTACTGTTCTAATTGTGTATATTTTTTCAGTACTGTAATAAGTAAGATCTGCAAGAAATTTTCCTTATTGGTTGGGGAATAGTAGATTAAGTAGTTTTCCTGGTTTATCAAGTCATTCGCAAATTCTGTGATTAGATAAAATTTTAGTAGTTATCTCTGTCAGAAAGATATATTGTATAATGCCATAAATCATTGACTACTAGCTTTAAAATGTACAACTTCAAACTTTTACTTTATGGTCTTCAAAATATAATTCCTTCATATCTGAAAGTGCTTAAAATTTCTACAGCTTTACTGACTTGTAGCTACCAAGCTGTACTACTTCTCACAAAGATCAAATTTAATCTCATTTTACCATGCAAAAATGTACGACTACATAGCTAGTTATCAGAAGTGATTCTGGGAGTGGGTCTTGTGGTTCCTCAGGTATTGTCTACTTTCTACTCTTGTCTTTTTAAAATATCAATGCTTATATGTTCCAAAAGCATGAACAGCCCCACCCCAAGTTATAAATGTAAACTATGAATTATAAATAATTGAGAAAATGGTTACATGTGAAAACAGGAATTGTGAATTGGTCTGCTTATTAAAATGTTGTGAGCATCATGCTTTCATAAGCACACGTACACAACTTGAACTCTAGCCACAAATACTTCTTATAGTAATTACTATACTTCTTATAGTAATTTGAACTAGTATAATTAACTGATTTGGTAGAAAATTCATCTTTCATATTTTCACTTCTCACAACTATAGAGTTGATGCCAATTCATAGTGACCCTCTTGGACGGTGGTTCTCAACCTTCCTAATGCCACGACCCTTTAATACAGTTCCTCATGTTGTGACTCCCAAACATAAAATTATTTTTGTTACTACTTCATAGCTGTAATTTTGCTACTGTTATGAATTGTCATGTAAATATCTGATATGCAGGATGTATTTTCA